TAAGTAGGAGAATATTGAAATAAATCCCTATATCTTTGGAGCAACTACTGAAAAAAAATAAAGCAAAGAATACATGCTTGTCAAATATGCAGTACAAATAAATAATTTAGGTGCAAATGGATGACTAGAAATAACAAAGAGATGACCAAATAATGAAAGGCTAAAGGGTGGTTGTTATATCTGATGTACTTCATTGTATATTGTACGTAATTGCTATCCATAAAAAATCCCATGGCTTCAGTATAAGAAAAAGAGACAATTTGACAGGCAACACTGGCAGCAAGAGACAGCAAGTACAAATCCTTGGCAACTGTCATTATCCTGCTGTTGAATTCACATCCCAAACTGTGTGATAACTTTGACCTGTATCGCTGTTATGGAACCAATGTCTCTTACAGTAACTATATTTTTCACTTATCAGAGGAAATCATTAGCCATGTGCAGATTTATGTCTTAGAAAACTGTATGGACTATTTATTTACTTCTCCTTACTACACTGTTGTTCTCTATTTAAAGAAGAAATATGGAGATGTGCTTTAGTTACACAATAATGAGTAATTAGAAAATTGCACCAGAGCAGTAGAATGGAAATTTTGGTCTGACGTAGCTAAACAATTTCAGCATGTAGAACTAACTGAAAGTAGAAGTTCCTTTTGCAATAATTACAAAAAAGCCTCAGTGTTTCATTGCTTTTCAACAGCAGTTTCATTGCTTTTGTATGGGAAAAAAGAGTTGTTAGAGCTCTGCGGGTTTTTAGTTGTTTTCGTTTCTTTTCCTGTCTAAAGTTCTGGTTTCAAAATCTTTTCTCTCTGTATCTCTATCTGGGCATCTTTCCTTGTGCTGTAGAAATAGGATCACAACGTCTTGGTGTTAGCAGCTAGCAAGATTTTCCTTTAATATGGAGTAACATTCTTCCTGACTAGTGAATGCCATTTCAAACTGACTCTTTTATGCAGTTTCTACATATTAAAACTTTAATTTTATAGTGTTCAATCTCCAGGAGAATGGGCACTGGAGTTACATCTAAATCTGAGTTTTCTCAAACTATAAAACAGCTCAGCAGTGCAAGGGTAAGATTACTTTTGGCAATTGCACTCTTGCATCTTCTGTTTGAAACCACCTCAGTGAAGGAATTGGAGTGTGTGCACAAGTACCCTAAGGTTTACATACACTGTACACATAAATAGTTGTTATGATGGGGGAAGTTGTAAGGAAAAGCTGACCAAGGACTGGGGAACAATAATACCTGTGGTATATTCCCTGTGTAGTGTAATTTAGTGACAGCAGGTTTCGTAGGTGTATATATATTGTGGAAAATATATACATACAAAATGTGTGTTGAAAATATTTGCTACACCAGCCCTCTTACATGAGGGTTTACTTGTCCTGTAAGCAAGGTCCTTGGTAGGTAATGCCAACAGTACTGTTTTTATTCCATCAGAGTAGTTTGTGAGTGGCAAGTTACGATTTTATCTGGTAAAGAATCAAGGAATCTACAGAGTAAATAATGGCAATTAATACATTTTTATTGTATAAAGAAATTTCTTCCTGGTTTTGTGGTTATTTTCTGCTTTTGAAGTGGGTAACAAAGTGGTCTTTTAAGGAAAAGGGTATTTGCAAAAAATAATGTCCTCTCGCTGTCACTAGTCAGAATGAAAACACAGCATAGTGTGCTCAGATCTCATAATACTAAAACGAGTTTTCTTTGATTGAACTCCAATATTTAATATTCCTGAGACAGTATATTAGTTTAAGGATTTCCTAGGAAGAAATACTGCAATTCATGTGGACAAATGTTAAAGTTCCCATTTGTTCTGATATCATTTTTGTAATTTATAATGGGAATGTTCTGATACTTTGGAGTTATTTGAATATGAAAGGAGAGTGAGGGCTTGATCTCATCCAATTCCTTTCTTGCTTCATCTTGATCTTTAATACTGCTCTTGGCACAGTTACACTAGTGCTGATTTGGATCTCCCAAAGACCGGATAAAATTAGATTGCTTGATCTTCATATGGGTGAATATTCCATCCAGGCTTTTGGCCTATGGCACAAAGTAATTTTGTGCCATTAATAGTAGCCTCAAATTGAAAGTTGGAGGCTTTTGTTCTCATTATCTTTAATGTCATATGCAAATAAAACCTTTTTTTCTAGCTTATGTGGTAATTTAATGTTCATTTTGTACAAAGGAAGGCTAGCACAGACTTCATGCTAGTGCATTGTGGCATAGCTGAAATACCTGCTGTACTTCACCATAATCCTGTCCTACAGCACTTTATACATTTCCCTTCTGATCTGGGCTTGTGCAAAGATTAATTGAGATGAATTATGAAATAATGTTACAGTTTGCAGAAATAGGAATCAGTTTCATAAGGTATTTTGCAACTTTAATTAAGATATTGTAGGCTTTTCTGAGCTCTGTACAGTTAATTAGTACTAATTTAAAGTAGTTGAAAGTCCAGAGCAAAGAGATAAAATTTTAACCACATTTATCATATTTTTGTGTCAGAAACCCTTTCCCTCCCTACTCAAAAAAGCTGTTAAAATACTGGAGGGAAGCAGAGCTCTAGACAACTTCTATTTGCCCACAACACTCGCCTGCAATCAGCAATGGTATCAAGCAGGTCAAGACTTCAAGATTGTTTTACACATCAAACCAAATCAGTTCAGAGCTGTGATGGGGTATCAGATGTATAGACAGCTACAAATCAAGCAGTACAGACAATTTCTGTCTTATATCACCATCCAAGAGAAACAGAGCTGAAAGTGTTCCCACAGGTCAACTAAGGTAATCAAAGCTCTTCTCTGTTGCTTTTAATCAAGAGTGTTGCAGTTCAGTCACCTTGTAATAACCAGTCAGCTGATATTCTAAAACAGACCCTGCTAATTTTTATTAAGATTTCTTGACCTAGCAATTGCTCAGGACACATAGTTTTTAAAACCATATTGATTCCATCAAACGTTCCTGGAAGACCCAGTTACAACAATCAGGCTTCCCACTTGGTTTTACAAATTTTTAAGACTTAACAGTAGATAGGTAATATCCAACAAGTTGACCCCTCTGCAAGGAACAATGTGATTCTCCATAATTAATCCAAAATGAATTGATCCTGTCTGTCTGGAAAATCCAAGAGAGCAATTGGATTTTGCAATGTGCCATAAAGGTGATTAAGGAGAAGACTTGGTGAACAAAAGTGTACTATAACGTGTTCAGTTTAGATCTCCTCATCAAAAGCTTTTTGTTGTGTCTTCTGTTTTGGGGAAGGAAATTGTTATAAACTGAGGCAAAGCTAGATGATTAAAGTTGTCATGGTTTAGTACTCAACACTGAAGTAGCCATATTGATTTAATAGCACGACTTGCATTAAAAATACTAAAAAGAAGACAAAAAAGCTGGGATTTTTATGTGGTCATTTGGTCTTCCAAGAAATGTGGAAACTGTAAAATATGTGAGATTCACCTGGATGTCATTATGGTTTAAGTGAAGTATCAGTTCAGTGCTAATTTAAATGAATGGGAAAATTTGCAAGTTTTTTTTATGGGAGAGGAATTCACATCTCAGGCCTCAAACAAGTTTTGAGTTGTGCATGAGAACCTCTTGTTGAAGGCTGGAAGAGAGACTGTGTGCACAAATATTCTTGTCACAAATGACATTTTGTCATAAATCTGCTTTCCTCTCCTGTTTTGTTTTTCTTCTTCTTACTGTGTTATTATACAGGAGTCATTTGTGGAATGAGGATTTTAAAACAGTATTATGATGTTTTTATATTGATTATTAGTTTATTTAATTTTATTCTGGCAGCTGTATTGAATATATTTTGCTATCTGGGAAACGGAAACAATTAACAATAAGCCCCACCTCTGCAGTCACTGTACAGGCATAATTGCTGTCAATTTGATTGAAATTTTGCCTGAGAAAAGATTGTCACCAGTTCTTACTTTTTAAACTAGAAGCAATAGCCTGCATACTATACACTGAAAGCACTCTTTAATTACAAGTTTTCTCAGAATCAAAATTTTTTTCCTATATTTATTTGAGCTGATAAGTTGTGAAAAATACTTTTAAAATTAGGTGATTTATTTTCTTGTGAAGTTCTTAAGACATTTCATAAGAGGACTTTATAGCAGCTACTTTTCAGTATTTTAGAAGTTCTGAATAAACTCCACGTGGCATAGGTTAAGTCTATTTTGTTTAGAAGAGTTCAGTTTCTCTGTATTTTCTACATTTAGAACTTAGATGCTGTGAACTAAATTCTTACACTGTGGAGAATTTTAGTGACCGTGTGCTCAGATTGTTTTTTCACACAATTACAATAAAAGTTCTAAAAAAAAGTAAAAAATAATAATATTGGATTATTTCTTTAGAATCCTAAACCGAATTTTCTATTTCAACAGAACTAACTGTGCTCTCTGTTTCAAAACCCTGGCAAATCCACAGAGCATTTGAAGTATCCAAAGTTATTAAACAGCAGCCAAATGTAATCAAAGTCACAGCTCACAAAAATGGCACAAGAAAGATCTTTGCTAAAGTTTCTGAGTCCTTAATTAAGCCAAGAACCTTGAATACAAGTTTTCTTGCAAGCAGAAAGTTTCTCTGCAGCTTTTGCTTCAAACCCCAATGTAAATCCTTTTTTTCCTTTAAATCAAGCTTGCTGAAACTTTTCATCCTTTGTGCGCTATTTCTGAGATGCATGACTTGATAAAAATACTGATAAATGCTAAGTGAAAGAAGTTACAGAATAAAGCACAGTATTATTTGGCATTAAAAGGCAAGAGCACAATCCCTTTAAAGCAACATTTTTAAGGTTATGTGTTTTTCTCCTCCTATGCTTTCTAGTAACAATCTAGTAATAATTTAGTAATAAAACACAGTTAATACCATCGTTAAATTTTTTATTTCTGATTTTATTTTTTCGCCGACCGAATATCGGCCATGAAACAAATATGTCTGTAAATCAGCCTTCCTTACCTCTTGCAGTCATTTAGCTGCTGGGGGAGTGCTCTGAAAAGCTGAGCCTGAACATGGCTGCACAACGAGTGTTCTTGGCAGGCAGCACTGCAGCACGAGAGCCCAAAGACGTGCCCCACGATGCCGACGTTTAGATTGCAACCGGAGAAAACCTTCCTGTGCCCACGAGAGAAAAAAATGAGAGGTAAAAACCTAAGGAGCAAAACTCAGAAACACCCCCCCCACACACACACACAGCAAAATGGCTTAAGGGGTGCAATTAAAAATTATTTTCATCCCGTCTTTTTGCATGGTTTAACAAAACTAATGTTTACTCATTTACAGCTCAGTAAGAGGATAATGTGCTTAATGAAAGAAAAATCTACTGACAGCCACATTTATTGCCCTTCATTAGCATTGGTACTTAATTTAATATAGATCTGAATAGACATTAGGGAGCCTGCAGGAGGTTAAATGGTGAAAATGTAAAGAGATTATTGAATTTACTGTTTAGTTTCAGTGACATCAAACAGACATAATTAATTAAGCTTATTCCACTAGCAAAATAATCCAGAATGTAAGATTGGATTAATTAATGCAGTTTTTTAGGTTTTTTTGGAAAGTTTAATACAGCAATATGGAATATCTACTTTCCTATGCTTTATTAATTTTAGATATTTAGATAGATATTATCTAAATATTAATATTTTGATATTAAAATTTTTCTTCTCTCCTTCTCATTCTTTTACCAAAGTAGTAATTAATTATGTTTTAGTTTTCACCAGAGGTGAAAAACATTTCTGAATCCTCTACAATTTAGATATGAATGTAAATGTTTCTCAGGGTCATTTTAAGACCACGAAGTACCTTGTGAGATTTCTGCTGCAAATTTGTGGTAGCATTTTATAACCGTAGCTCAAGTAGGGTTCAGTATCAAGTTAAAGATACCAGTTGGGTATTTTATTAAACTATGAATTCAACCAGCACTTGTGACAAAGAACTGTTAATTGATAGAATCTTATATATTCTGAAAAGCAAAATTATTATTAAGGTAGTGTATGTGTAGGTAGGAATCTACAATTCCAGTGTACACTTCCAATGAGAAATGAAAATAAGGTCAATTTTTTAACATAACATGAAACGTCCCGATTTTTGTAATGTTATAGTGGTAGAATGTGTGATAGGTTTTTTAAAAAATGAGGGATTGCAAAGAAAACAAAAGCAAATAATTCACATAGTTTGCATATTTTGTACATATGTTGTATGTATTTTATATATCAATTACTTTGCACTTTGGGCCAATTTTTTTTCTTATGTACTTTCTTTAGAAACTAGCCTTTGGTTTTACTTTCCTACATATGTTTTAAATAGCATTTGTTGTCTTGGGAAGTATTAAGAGACATATTTTAGTGTTAAATTGTTCATTCAACGTTTCAAAGTATTCAAATGAGCTTTCACTAATTCTTTTACAGATTGCTAATACTACAAATGCATTTCAAGAAGATATCCACATTATACTCATTACTGGCTCTTTGACTGAGAAAATTACTATTATATAGCTCTCTCTATAAACACAAAAATCTAATGCTAATTAGTAGAGCCTTTATAATCTAAGTCCATTAATTAAAGGTTTGTTTACATGTTCATGGAGATATTTATAAAAGAAGCTTATATTTTAAACCTGTGCCTTACATAATCAATTTTATATACTACAAGGTGGTTTTGGTAACATAAAAATGATTCTGAGTACAATTCAGGTGATCCAGTCACTAGGATGGTTGTAATTAATGGCCTATATATTCAATAAAAGGCACAGATCACTGTGTTTATTTTTGCACAAGTGGAAGACAGAACTGCTGTTTGTGCTGAAAGAATCCTTTACACAACCCTATTATGGCAGTGTTTTATAGGAGCACTGCTATTTGTTACAAAGTCTGCACTGGTACATATATTATAGTTTCTCCATGCACATGACTTGAGTGTTGTGATAGATTTCCAAAGTCATTAAGTGAGTTTTTTTTCTCTCTCTCATTTTCCTCTTGCAAGCCAAGTTCAAAACAAAAACTTCTGTGCTTTGTCTGCATATCTTTGGCTGTGTTTCACTGTGACATGCACTGCTGTTCCTTTAGCACCAAAATGTTGGCACACATTACTGAAAATTTCACACCATCTCTTGCTGGATCAGCAAGCTTAACCTACCAAAATCTGGTGTTGTTGAATGGTTTTTGACTGATAATCAATCTTTTTGCTGCTCGACAGTTGTTGCTGGGACACAGACTAGAGCAGGTGGCAGATGTGCCTTGTCTTTTGAGAAAAGAAAGAGTAGGTGAGCTTGGGCACAGAGTAACATATTGTGTGTCCATTAAAAGGGTAAGTATAACAGCAAAAAGTCACTGCTATAAGTAGAAAAGCCACCAATACCAGAAAATAGGCCTTTTAACACCTCTGTTTGCAAGTTTAATAGGACTGGAAAATGACAGTTCCTAGCGGAGAATTCCATGTTCTCAAAAATCAGAGCGGATGTTAAAAACATTCACAAACTCTCTGTATAAGATTCCATAGTACTTTTTTTTTTTTACTTTTTCTGTTTTAATTTATACATATAATTACATTACAATGGTAATATATGTATTTTTAAAAAGCTACAATACATTGAAGAGAGGGTTTAGAGATATATGGAGATAGACAGTACCTATTTTAGAATTTCTTTCTCTAGCCCAGGAGTGGGAAGAGAGTGTGGAGTAGTATGACTTTTCAGTGTAAACATACTAATGGCTGCATTTGAGTCCTCAACATACAGATAACAAGGTCAAATGTCAGTAGCAAATCTTTTTTGAATGACAATGGAAGGTCAGTGATATGTAGTGTAAAGCCCTAACCCTGCCAATACGTACAAGTGATCCTGTGGAAATCAGACAGGCCTTTTACACGTGTAGTTAAACATAAATATTTGCAAGACCAACATCTTTGTAGAAATTCATGTTTCAAGTACTGTATAAATCACAAAGTCTGTCAGAACTGTATCATCTTGCATATAATTTTACTGCTTCAAGTGGCGTCAATGCTTGGATGAAATATAATTCCCAGTGATGTTGATGTCTTGGTTTATTGGGATTTATTCTGCTTCTTATCTTTCTGATGCCCTAAAATTTAACTTGAGCTTTTGGTTAAGTGAATAGGGATTCAAACATAAGGTGACAAATTGCATGGTCTTGGATAAACAACAATAATAAACAATTCTTATATTCTTCTAAGATAATTCAATTTTTATAATAAATACATGTGACATATCAGTTACAGGGTTCCATTCCAACAGGAATTTAGCAACCAAAACCCTGTCAAGTTTCAAGCATTTAAAACATATTTTTTGGGAGACTACTGTGGAACTAGTGTGGTGCAGAACTGCTCCAAAGAGTTTATTCTCTGTAGTGTGTTGTTCATCTGTGTAATTTGGTGATGGTCAATGGTTGTATTTAATTAATTATCCTTTGGAAATTTATAGGAGAACACATACCTCAGTGTTTGTTTGCAGACATTTATATATTTAGCAGTTACTGAATTTCAAAATAGAGTGGGTGTTCTTATTTATTTTTCTAATACCTTGTGTTTCTCCTGCCAGCTTTTATTGCACCTCCACACTTCTTTACAATTGAATTTCAGATGTCCCCAGTTTACTGCTTCAGACTTTTTTCTTCAGTACTTACCAATTTCTTAAACTGATACTAATTTATTTCTATTGAATTTCATTGCAGTGACTTTAGCAACCTTGCCTAATAAAGTAATCAATTGTCCATCACTCCTTCATAAAATAATTATGCACTTTCTCAGTCAGACTATTGTGGAAAAAATGTCTTCTTGTACACTTCGTCTGCCATTCAGTAATTTTTCAGTTTCTGTATTTGCCATTTACCTTGATCTCCCTTCAGAGTGTGACTACATTTAAAATAGGACATCTTTTCTACAAGGAGTGTCAGTGAAATGATGGATTCTTACCATTCTAACTATTGACCAATTTGGAATGGTCCAGATTTCAAGCAGCACTCTAAATAATATGTCTTTTTTTCATCAATACATAAAAATCAAAGTTGCGACATCTGATTTTTCAGAAAAAATGAATCTTCTCTGTGAACTTGAAATTAATACATTTTATTGCCAATTTTTCTGTAATTCCTGTATTATATGATGTTATTTCAGTGCATTTGTACTGGAATTCTGATCTGAAAAAAGAATATGCTATAAAAATAGTCATGAAATATGCAGAAATATGTAGCTCGTCATATATTATGAACCAATCCTTCTTGTAGGTTGAAGATCTCAAGATTGACAACAGAATGATTCAAGTTCTCTCTTGAATCATCATATGTCAAATCATAGAGGTGATTAGTTGGAAAATAGCTTGATCAGGTCCTGAAAGATAAAATAGCAAAACCATAGTCTTTCAGATGCCAGCAACACCTAGATTGCATTTTAAGTGTTTCTGACAGAAAACTGATTTTACTACTTTACTATGGAAAATTTAGATTCAAAGTGTTATTAAAGGTTCTTTTTCTGTTTTGAGTACCTTTTTGAAATCTGAAATATGCCCTTTTATGAGCTATTTTGGAACCCTCACAATACTGAAGTCTCCCTCCTGGCCACTCAGTGGCATTGAAGTCTTTAGCTTTTTTTTTGATACAGGAATCTGGTGGTAATATTAACGAATTCTACTACTTCCTTTGGCACAAGAATCAAAGGTACATAGAGTGTTCCCTCAAGAGCTTCCACAGCAGATTTGGATAAATATGGTCTCCCAGACAACATATATTGATGGCACAATAACCCATTGCCAATGTGTGTTGTCAGGCTTTAACTTTCCTGCTCATCAGCTTCACTCACCTGTTCATTAACTTGGGTGGTTTGTTAAAGAAATATGAGAAAACTTTGTGATACTTTAGTTTGACGATTTAATGGTTTGCAAAGACATTTTCCAACGTGCTGGTTTGAGCAGATGCTGGATTTCTGGGAGCAACCAGTAGGCTTTACGGAGTAAACATGACAACTTACCTAGATGCTGTAAACTGATAGCCAAAAGTTATAATATATTTATACACACAGACACACAAACGCATATATGTAAATAATGCCAAGTAAGGCAAATTGATTGGGGTAAAAAAATCACCAGAGGGAATACTTTTTCTGTAATAGCTTGGGAACTTTTTTTCCAAT